ATTTTGGAGGGACTGGAGGCAGAGAGACCAGTTAAAAGGCCAGCACAACAGATAAGGAGGAAGAAAATGGGGGCTTGGACCGAAGCAGAGAACCGCAGACAGAGAAGGTACCAATTCAAGATATATTGGGGGGTTTGAATCAGCACATTTAGATGATGAATTAAATATGAGGACCGAGGAAGAAGAAATGAGTCAAGGATGCTAACCTGCTTACCTGAGGTGGCAAAGGAGAGGCAGTTTAGGACGGGGCAGTTGAGGAATATCGTTTTGATCATTTTGAGTTTGAGGTACAAGTTGGACACTTAGGTAAAGACTGGAGGGGAAATCTGAAAATATAATTATGGGACTGAGGAACAAGTTTTTTATTTTTTGTTTTGTTTTCTTGTTGAAGAACAAATTTAATTGTAATTCCAAGTCATCAGCATCTAGGAGACAGTGGCAGGAGGTGACCGTCTTGTGGGTAAGGGTTTGCGGTCCTTGATGAGTATCTCTCAATTGGCCTTAAATATAAGCAGGAAAAGGAGTTTATGATGGATTCCAGGCTCAACAGGACTCAGTAGGGCTCAGGCATCCAGCAGAGGAAGCCAGAGCATCTTCTTTGGTTTAGCCCAAGTAACGACTTCTTTAAAAAGCTGAAGGAAAATCTAGAGTGATCAGATAATAAACTGTACTCTTGCATTTTCTCTCCCTCCTCTCACCCACAGCCTCTTGATGAACCGGAGGAAGTTTCTTTACCACTTCAAAAATGTCCGCTGGGCTAAGGGTCGGCATGAGACCTACCTGTGCTATGTAGTGAAGAGGCGGGACAGTGCTACTTCCTTTTCACTGGACTTTGGTCATCTTCGCAATAAGGTATCAATTAAAGTCGGCTTTGCAAGCAGTCTAATGGCCAACTGTAAGTGCTTTTAGAGCCACCTGTTGATGGTATTACTTCCATCCTTTTTTGGCACTCGTGTCTCTATTACATTCCTCAAATCCTTTTTTTCTTTCTTTTTCCATGTCCATGCACCCATATTAGACGTGGCCCAAAATATGTGATTTAATTCCTCCCCAGTAATGCTGGGCACCCTAATGCCACACTTTCCTTCAATGCCAAGAACAACTGCTCCCAAAATTTTTACCTGCTTTCCTCAGCCTCTGAATTGCCTTTGAGATTAATTAAGCTAAAATCATTTTTATTTGGGAGAATATTATCAGCTTGTTCAAGCAAAAATTTTAAATGTGAAAAACAAATTGTGTCTTAAGCATTTTTGAAGATTAAGGAAGAAGAATTTGGGAAAAAATTAACAGTGGCTCAATTCTGTTTTCCAAATGATTTCTTTTCCCTCCTGTTCACATGGATCATAGACCAGTGAATACATTCAACATGGTGATCCCCAGAAAACTCAGAAGCCTCAGCTGATTGATGAATTAAACTGATCTTTCAGCTACCCAAGAGAATTACATTTCCAAGAGACTTCTTCACCAAAATCCAGACGGGTTTACATAAACTTCTGCCCGTGGGTATCTCCTTTCTCCTAACATGCTGTGACGTCTGGACTTGGCGGAATCTCAGGGAAGCATCCATGGGGTGGAAGGTCATCATATGGTTCATTGTTTGATGGTTTTATTGCCATGCAATTTTCTTTGCCTACATTTGTATTGGGTACATGCCAGTCTCCTTCCTATCTGGTGACATGGCACATTCTATTTCAGAAGGCTTTGGTTTTACCAAGCACTTTCATTTACCTTTCGTGGCAGTGCCTAGTACTTCTCTTACAACACCCATCTGTCTGCTTTACCAAAATCTATTTCCGCTTTTCAGATCCTCATAAACTGTCCTACCTCTACCTAGTGGTCCAGGTATATTTCCACAATGTTACATCAACAGGCACTTGCAGCCATTTTCCTTCTCAAAAGGTGCAAAAAGCAACTTCATAAACACAAATTAAATCTTCGGTGAGGCAGTGTGACACTGCTTCCTCCAAACTCAGCGCACTTCATCTTCCTCATTCCGCAAAAACCCATAGCCTTCCTTCACTCTGCAGGACTAGTGCAGCCAAGGGTTCAGCTCTACCTACTGGTGTGCTCTTCCGAGCAGGTTGCTTAGCCTCTCTGTAACACATGGACGGTAGCTCCTAGCATCCCCAAAGATCACTGTAGGAGACAATGACCAAGGCTACCAGAGCCGCAAGAAAAGTCAGTGAATGTTAGCGGGGTCTTCTCTGTCTCCCCAGTCCGGCTGCCACGTGGAATTGCTCTTCCTCCGCTACATCTCGGACTGGGACCTAGACCCTGGCAGGTGCTACCGCGTCACCTGGTTCACCTCCTGGAGCCCCTGCTACGACTGTGCCCGACATGTGGCCGACTTTCTGCGAGGGAACCCCAACCTCAGTCTGAGGATCTTCACCGCGCGCCTCTACTTCTGCGAGGACCGCAAGGCTGAGCCTGAGGGGCTGAGGCGGTTGCACCGCGCCGGGGTGCAAATAGCCATCATGACCTTCAAAGGTGCGAAAGGGCCTTCCGCGCAGGCGCAGTGCAGCAGCCCTCATTCGGGATTGCGATGCAGAACGAATGAGTCAGTGGGGAAGCACCAGGGGAAGAAGTGGGCGGGGATTCTGGGTCACCTTTGGAGCCGAAATTAAAGGTTACAAGTAGAGAAAAGAGTAAATGGCTCAGAGCCAAGGCCCTGAGGAAATGAGAAAATGGGGCCAGGTTGCTTTCTTTTCCCTCGATTTGGAACCTGAACTGTCTTCTACCACCACATCCCCGCCTTTTTTTCTTTTTTTCTTTCTTTTTTTTTTTTAAAGATTATTTTTACTGCTGGAATACTTTTGTAGAAAATCGTGAAAGAACTTTCAAAGCCTGGGAAGGGTTGCATGAAAATTCAGTTCGTCTCTCCAGACAGCTTCGGCGCATCCTTTTGGTAAGGGGCTTCCTTGCTTTTTAAATTTCTTTTCTTTCTCTGTAGTCTTTTTTGGAGCTTCGTATATTTCTTATATTTTCTTATCGTTTAATCACTCTCAGTTTTCATCTGATGAAAACTTTATTGCTTCTCCACATCAGCTTTTTCTTCTGCTCTTTCACCATTCAGAGCCCTCTGCTAAGGTTCCTTTTCCTTCCCTTTTCTTTCTTTTGTTGTTTCACATTTTTAAATTTCCGTCTATCCCCAGGGTTGTGTTTCCTTCCTGGTCAGAATTCTTTTCTCCTTTTTTTAAAGAAAAACAAAAACACAAAACAAAACAAAAAATCCCAAAAAACTCTTTCCCAATTTACTTTCTTCCAAAATGTTAGAAAGCCATCCATTGAGTTTAGAAGCCTCTCCGGCCCCACCAACCTCCAACTGAGTTTTGAAGCCATTCACTCAATTTGCCCCTCTCTTTCTCTACAGCCCCTGTATGAGGTTGATGACTTACGAGACGCATTTCGTACCTTGGGACTTTGATAGCAACTTCCAGGAATGTCACACACGATGAAATATTTCTGCTGAAGACAGTGGATAAAAAACAATCCTTCAAGTCTTCTCTGTTTTTCTTCTTCAACTCTCATTTTCTTAGAGTTTAGAGAAAAAATATTTATATACGACTCTTTAAAAAGATCTATGTCTTGAAAATAGAGAAGGAACACAGGCCTGACCAGGGACATGCT